GCTTTATCTCAGCGAAAGAAGTGAAAAATGGACTGTCTGCACATTCGTAGCTGTACATTCAATTTTCAGAAATAGTAGATGTTGGACAGCTCCAAAATGCTGAGAAGCACTAGATATGGCTGTTTCAAGCTTAATCTTATTGTTTCAAGAGAGTAGAAGCCGAGAGGCCAAAAAAGCTTTATCTCAGCGAAAGAAGTGAAAAATGGACTGTCTGCACATTCGTAGCTGTACATTCAATTTTCAGAAATAGTAGATGTTGGACAGCTCCGAAATGCTGAGAAGCACTAGATATGGCTGTTTCAAGCTTAATCTTATTGTTTCAAGAGAGTAGAAGCCGAGAGGCCAAAAAAGCTTTATCTCAGCGAAAGAAGTGAAAAATGGACATCTTGGGTTTACGAATCTCATTTAATTTTCAGCTTTATTAGATTTAGGACAGCTCCGAAATGCTGAGAAGCACTAGATATGGCTGTTTCAAGCTTAATCTTATTGTTTCAAGAGAGTAGAAGCCGAGAGGCCAAAAAAGCTTTATCTCAGCGAAAGAAGTGAAAAATGGACATCTTGGGTTTACGAATCTCATTTAATTTTCAGCTTTATTAGATTTAGGACAGCTCCGAAATGTTTTCAATCAGTAGACCTGGCTGTTTCAAACTTTAATCAGGTCTACATCTAATGTTTCAAGAGAACAGAAGCCAAGAAGCCTATAATGCATTATCTCAGCAAAAGAAGTGAAACATGGACTATCTGTGATTTCGCAGCTCTACATCTTATTTTGGGCTTGATTAGATGTGGGACATCTCAAAAATCCTGAGAAGCAGTAGATCTGGCTGTTTCAAACTGGAATCAATTTTAATTCTTATGATTCAACAAACAGAAGTCAAGATGCCAAAAAAGCTTTTTCTCAGTGAAAGAAGTGAAAAATGGAATTCTTGGGTTCACAAAGCTCTACATTTAATATTTAACTTTATTTGTGGGACATCTTAGTGATGCGAAGACGCAGATCTGGCTGTTTTAAATTGGAATCAGGTCTAAATCTTATGTTTCAAGAGAACAGAAGGCCAATAACACTTTATCTCAGTGAAAGAAGTGAATTAACAGATAGTACATTTTTCACATTTTTCCTTTAGATAAAGCTTTTTTGGCCTTTCGCCTGCTAATCTCATAAAACATAAGGTTTAGACCTGATTCCAGTTTAAAACAGCCAGATCTACTGCTTCTTTATTGACCCAATAAAGCTTGGGTCAAATTAAGATCCAAAGGTATACCATGAAACCAAGATGGTAAGAAACAAATTAAACGATATATTGACAGGAGAGATTGAAAAAAGCCATATATTTCTGAAACAGAATTACTACGAAGCAGGTTCAAGGGCAGCTAAACTGTTAGCTAAACGGATACGGAAATAACAAACGCTTAATGCGATATATAAAATTAGAAACCCCTACACACGTGAACTAACAGTTAATCCAGAGGAAATAGAGGGCATTTTTCGAGAATATTATGAGAAACTGTATACACAGCCTGAATTTGCACATGAGCAAGAAATTAGAACCTTTTTAAATGCATTAGATTGACCAACAATTGGCAAATTACAAAATGAGACACTGACAGCAGCAATCACAATAGAGGTATAAGAGGCAATAAATACATTAAAAAAATAATAGGCAGAGTGGTATAAGACCTTAAGAGAAGAGTTGGCACCGATACTCACAGCTTCTTTCAATTGGACTCTTAATAACAACAAAATACCTCTGTCATGAAGTGAAGCCATCATCTCAGTCATACCAAAACAAGGAAGAGATAAGGAACACTGTAGTAATTATAGACCAATCTCATTATTAAATGTAGATTACAAGATATACACATCCATTATTTCTAATAGATTAAATGCCTTTGCAACAGAATTGATAGAGGAAGACCAAACAGGTTTTATGAGAGGCCGTCAAACACACGATAATATTAGAAGAGTATTACATATAGCAGATCAAGCACAGCAAAAAAAAACAAAAAAAACAAAGTACTATACTAGTAAGTGTCGATGCAGAAAAAGCATTTGATTTGGTAAATTGGGAATTTCTGTATAAAACGTTAGAACGTGCAAGCAAAACTATTATATTTGTTTCAGGCATTACCAATAGAGGTCCCTCAAAACCAATTTGCGATCTGGGACAAGATAATATCAAGATTAATTTGGGCTGGCAAAAAACCTAGAGTTAAATATGAAACTCTTCAACTACCAACAGATAAAGGGGGTATGGGTCTCCCAAATTTAAGACAGTACTTCTGTGCAGCCCAACTCAGGCATATTATATGCTGGTGCACACCAGACTGAATAGCTAAGTGGAAAGATATAGAAAAAGAGTTTGGAGGGTACCCAATTCAAAGTGTTATTGGGGATGAAGATAGGTATGAGAAAATAGAGAAATACATGGACCCAATCACAAGGTTTACACTGGATTTATGGTTCAAAACATTAAAAAAATATAGGATAAAAAAGAAATGAAAGTGCTCAGATGGGTAGCATATGATAGAGATTTCAAACCAGCAATATATGATAAAGAGTTTAAACAATGGATAAGCAAGGGGATCACAGGATGGTACACACTTCAGAATGATGGGGAGCTTGAGAGTTTTCAAAAAATGAAGGATAAGCATAACTTAGATAAACATGAATTTTACAGGTTCCTGCAATTAAGAGATTATTATAGAACAGAAATCAGGTGGGATCCCTCTGTGGAAGTGAATGGTGTGATTCAAATTGTGATAAATTCATTCAGTGGAACAAAAATTAAAATCATTTCTACTCTATATCAAAAACTGATAATGAATAAACATTCGACTAAATACATAAAAGAAAAATGGGAATCAGAGCTTAACACGACAATTTCAGAGGAAGATTGGTTTGATATGTGGAAAACACATCAGACATTCACCAATTCATGGATATGGAGGGAATTGACATGGAAAAATCTAATACGATTTTTCTTTACGCCTAAAGTCAAGAATAGATATAGCAGCACAAATTTGGGGTGTTGGAGGAATTGTGGATCAGTGAAAGCCGATCATGCACACATATTTTGGAGTTGTCCTAAAATTGTCCAATTTTGGAAAAATGTGCATGAAACTGTGAAGAAGATTCTTGGATATGATATTCCTATGAACAGCATGGTACTGTATCTTTGCAATTTTAACAATATCAATGTAAGGGTGAAAGACAGGTACCTGATAAAGATAATGTTAATAGCTTGCAAGAAAGCTATTACAAGGAATTGGGGAAAGACAGACCCCCCTTGTCAAGAACAATGGACTGGAATAATAAAAGAAATCTACATTATGGAAAAACTGACACATCAATTGAGACTTCAGCAAACACAAATGGAAGAAAAGTGTATGGAAATAGACAACATTCAAGACAAAAGACAAGCGAGAACAAATAGAGGAAAAACTAGATATACCAGATAGGACAAAACTTAAATAGAGGAACGGCTCCCAAGCAAAAGTTTTGTGTTGTGAGATGTTTAAAGTGGAATGTTCAGATATGTTAACAAATGTAAAAAATTTCAATAAACAGTTAAATGGAAAAAAAAAAAGCTGAAAATTAAATGCAGACGTTCGTAACCGAAGAAGCCAATTTTTTACTGAAAAGCGTATTTGGTCTCTCGGCTTCTGCTGTCTTGAAACATAAGAATTAGACCCTATTCCAATTTAAAACAACCACATCTGCTGCTTCTCAGCATTTCGGAGCTGTCCAACATCTCATTCTTATGAGACTTGGTTCTAGTTTCAAACCACCAGAATTGTTGTTTTTCAGCCTATCTTAACTTTTACATAGCAAACAATGTTGAAAATTGAATGCAGAACTGCAAATGCACAGATTCTCCATGTTTCACTTCTTCTGCTGAGATAAAGCTTTTTTGTCCTCTGATGCAGCTCTCTTGAAACACAAGTTTTGGTAACACTTTATTTGAAGGGGGTTGAATAAGACTGACATGACACTGTCATAAACATGAATAAGCCTTCATGAATATTTATGACTGTTGTCATAAAGCGTCATTCGGTAAATTATGACACTTTTAATACAAAGTTGACATTATTCAAAATGTCTTTATGACAACTTGACATTAACCAGGAAATCATTACTGTTTAAACTTCACCTTTAATAATATAAAGTTATCTAATTTTTAAAGTGCACTCAGTAATTATTTTATAACAAATTTATATCAGTAATGATATAAATATGAAGCCTTGTCGCTGCCCAATTGTGCTCAGCTCAATCTGTGATCTTATTTTTGCATGAACGAGATGGTTCTTGAGGTTCTTGTTTCTGAGGAAAGCAGATATGACCTTTCTTTTTGTTAACCTTCAACTAACAGATTGGATTTCTACAAAAATTTCGTCTCAAACCTCATGTCAAATTGATTTTAGCAGGTGAGTAGGTGCTGATGTAAGGAAGAGCCACGGTTTCATGTGGCTGTTTGGATTCAGAAAAGGACTTCAAGCATCTCCCTATGAAGGACCTCCAATACCCCCTGCTGGATAAAGCCACAAACAGCACCCCAACCACTTCATAAAAACCTGATTCTTGTGTGATTCTTCTGATTCTTTTATTCCACAATAACTGTGACTTGACTGATCCAGCAAACGTGTGCTTTGGATGGAAATTCGATTTACATAACAATGTGTGCGTATCAGTAGATTTGAAGTAAACTTTGATGTCCAATCAGTGCTGTTGAAATCAGGACCTTTAAAGGTTGTCATGTCCAAGAAATCCACTGCGGTAAGGCTGGTGGATGACTTTAATTTGTTGAAAGTGTTGTGTTTGCTTAGGGTGTATAGAAACTCCTCCCCTGAATGTGTCCAAACACCCCAGATGTCATCTAAATACAAGTATTTATAATACAGGTATAATGCAGCGGCATTTTATCACAGGTATTCAGAGCCGTCGTCTCCCATTCAGTCATGAAAATGTTTATGAAGTCTGGTGCCAACCGCTTCCCCCTTTGATCTGTAAGAACCACTCCCCATTGAATTGGAAATTATTCCTTAGCCAAATGATCTCTGAAAGTTGAATGATTTACTTATTCCATCAAGATTCTTTCGAAAGACATTCTGGACAGCGTTTATACCCCCTTCAGTAACAGTTTGTGTATAAGCTGTCTATATCAATTGTAAAGAGCATGGATTGTAAAGAGCAAAATGTTAATCTGGGCCTGTGTTCCAATGGTCATAATAAGTATACTTTTTGTTTTGCCTTAATAAATTTGGTTTTATGCAACTGATTGAGAAATTTAGCCACAATTAGAATTGTTTCTGGTTAGATAGTGTTGAGACACAAGGCATTTTCTACCTGTTGCTTGTCTCCCCAGGTCCATTAATGTCATGTGTAAAAGTGAAACCACAAAGGCATCAATCACTGTTTAACTTCACAATCAACCAGAATTTATTCAAACAATCAAAAGTATAAAATCACACCAACAGCTCAACATGGTCATCAGATACCAAAAACAGAAAAAAAAATATTTCCTTAGAAAAAAAATGCAAAATACAAAGACCACTGTATATGACAGTTAAAAGACAGTTCCACCCTAGTGATCTGACTAGCTGTTTTAGCTCTATTATGTATATCAAGGAAGGTTCTTTACTGTCTGATGTGTTTTGACGTACTGTTTTAGAGGTGGTCTCCTGTGTACAAACAGCACCACGTCATTAAGAACTGTTTGTACGCCAGAGACTGTGCTACCACCCAAAGCTCTTCTGACTCAGTGCAAAAAACTGCAGATTTTGATTATAAAAATTAGTACACGTTTCA